CATTTCTCTTGCATGCAAATGGTGCCGGCAGACTAGATCACGTAAAATGAGCATACGGGGAAAATACATGGGGACTTGGGCAGCAGGATCGACCGGTAACACGGCGATCCCGGCCGGCACACAACTTACAGATCTACCGCCCCGGCTACTAGAAACGGTCTTTTCGGTAGGGAAATAGATGCGGAAATGATGCTGCAATTGGAGCGGCTCCTTGTCAATGTCGACCGGTCTGGAACCCCCCAAGCCTGTTTTTGCAGCCTTGCTCTTGGTCGTTTTGGACTGCCTGGCTTCGTATTCTTTCATGCCTGAGTCGCCTGCAAGGAGTGCCAGCAACGGGGCGTTAGTATGCTGATCTTTTCACCCTGTCAAACCTCAGCAGGCTTGATTGCAACCACACGCACCTTGACAGGCATAGTATATCGTCGTTAAGAACCCATGGTTCAGCGATCCCAGTGAAGATGCCTGGGATGACAAATTTGTTAGCAACACCCCTGGTCACCGCTCGCCAAGAGCTGGGCAACTTGCTCAGCCAAAAGACCGCGCAGACCACCTACGTACCACATAGTCAATGTCAACGGCATTCTCGGTTGCTAAACCCAAGCTTCGGACACTGCTCCCTAAGCCGCAGTAGCCTAATTGAAAGTCTAAGTCAGCACAATTTTGACTTGCCACGAACATGAAGTCATCGCGTCCCGAGCGGAACGGGTAGACTGGCCTATGTGTTGCCAAGCTTCCTTCGTATGGCTGCCAGAGCTATGGGTCGATGTCAGCCGTCAGTCAGACTATCATCTTATATCGGGCTGCCCTGTTGGCTACTACTACTGACATGGAGTGGATGAAACCATAACGGCTTGTCTCGGAGAAGTCGTAATTGTCCAGACTCTTCACCAATTTCTCGTCGAGGCCAAGCGCTTTCAGGAATCGTCGGAGCTCGGTGCCGAATGATGTCTTGATAAGTGGCCCATTGAGCCGGGGCAAGTCGATCAAAAAGACCATCTAGAAAGAGTCAGCCAGACCATTAGGAAAAACTCAAGTTGGAAGCCCAAACGTTTTCCAGCTGGCCCGTCTCTCCCCAATCGTAAGGAACCAGATTGCCGGAAGGTATTACAATACGGAGGTAACTGCAAGTTGGTGTTAGATAGCCATTGGTAGCTCAAACAATGAAGATTCAACTTACCCTTCATACTTCAAGATCTGCAACTTGGAATGCATGTACCCGCCGTGCATTGGCGGAAAGCAGAATTTGATGAGACTACCGGCCGGAATGTTGGAGCGGATGTTGGCTTTCTAGAACATGAATCGTAAGCTCAGCACTCGACCCAGAAATATAAGATAGCATTCCAACATACCTCGGCATCGTTGTTTGCGTAGGCGACTAGAAGCATTTTGGTGTTTCGGGCATTGACCTTCGAGAGAAGCCATTCCTCGTCCCATTGGAAGGATGAGAGCACGGCCAGCTGCAGTTTGTCCCTTTGAAGGACTTCCTCAATCTTGATATCTTCCCCGTTTCTGGGGCAGCCGTATGCCCAAGTGCGCTTGAATGCTCCTTTCGGAAATGGTAATTCCAAAGCATCTGCGACTGGTGTTGCTGATATTGCTGGTGTTGCTGCCTTGGACTTTGCGGTACCAAACACCTTGTGGCTCTCGGAGGCTTCAGGGCGTTGCAACTTTGATCTCTGTGAATATTGGGTATCGATACCAGCCTCGGTAGCTGAACGCTTCTTCAGTCTTGCTATTCGTTCCTCTTCCATCTTCTTGCGGTCGAGGGCCAACAGCCCCAATGGGCCTGTGTTAGTGGCCGCCGACGTCGGGAGCTTCGTTGCGGATGACGCAAGCTTAGCTTTGTCGTCGTTAGCGAGTTCCTCTTGCTGCAAAGAAAGCGCAATGGCTAATGCAAGGTCTGGATCGTCATCTGCGCTGGGCGACTGGGATGGCGCCCGATCATTGTGCGAACTCATGTTTGGTCGCGATGGCGTTTGCTGCCTTTAGCTGCAATTGCTGGCTTGAAGTAACGGCTGCAATTCCCGGCGAACCTTTGCGATATTCCTGGACTTGGATCTTTGTAAGATATTGAGTGCAGTGATTCGTCGGCAACAGGGCCAACTTGTGGTGATGATGGTGAGCATTTAACGACGTCAATTACACGGCTGACGTGTAACCAAGGCCCAACTTTCCGTTCGTCAACTCGCGAAGTCACGTGCTCTCGTGTGCAATGATTCCTTTTGATGCATGTTTATCTACTTACATATCTATGCTCGACCGGCACTTGTACTATTAGCGTTACAGCGATATCGAATTCGAGCGGGCTTATTACATCCAGTGCCGCGGATTTACAAGTTGATCCCTGGTGTTTGCGATCTGGGTCGATTTAGTGATTGACTATATGGTCAGTTCCCAGTATCTATCTCTGTTGGGAGGGCTAGCGCTGCCAAACGTGAAGGCATGCTACCCGGTGTAGGCATCAGACTCGCGTTGGACGATTTGTTGCACTTCAGCCATGGTGTTTTTGAATCACTAGCCAAGTCTCCTGTAAATGTTTAGAGATTCTATTGGATTGCAGAGTATGTAATTTTCTTGGTTGGTTACATGATCTACCACATTTCTTCAACTATTTGTGAACCCCTTCGGTTCTATCGTGATGTTTTAGTTCATCCACAACGTTGACTGTAAGCTACATCACAATTTGTAAGTGTCACAAAGAAGTTTGATACGAATTTAAGGCTGGCTGACAATCTTTGCGAAACTCCACGTCGCAATAAAGTGGTCACGAGACTCCATTTGTAGCTTTCAATGGCTCCGAAAACAAAACGATCTTACTTAGAGACAGCCTTAGACGAACGATACTTTGAACTCCGGCTGATTATAAAAGTTGCATTGAGCACTTCGGGCAACAAGTGTCTCGGCGTTTCATGGACGTTTAACAGGTGTCAAGTTGCCCCGATTTGATAACACCGTTGATTGTGTTTTACCCGTGATCGAACTCAAAAGTCGAGGTACAGAATATTCTCGTCTGTACTTCGATATTTCTTATGCCTTGATCTCGTGGGTAATTTGATTCAACGTGAGACTATCTCAGGCACGTTGACAACTCAGATTCAGGCTGAAGCCGAGAACAAGCGGGTGGGAAATATTGATGGAAACGTTATGGGTCCATTCCCTCGCATGCCACACTGGCGGAATGAACGAAGATTTATGTCAATTCAGCTCTTAAACAGATCAAATTTGAAGGCTCTTACTGTAACGTGGAAACTTTCTTGTTTTGTCACTTCTCTCGGCATCACGCCAGGCTGAACAGAGCCACCATACCGACCCTCATACATTTATTGCGGGTGAGGCCGCCACCAACAGAGACCTCGGAGATGTTTCTCGGGACCTGAAAGACTTTTACTTAGACCCTCAAACACAAGACCTGCATATTGGAGACGACTTAAAAGGTCTTTTCACTGTCTCGGCACCGGATGAGTAGGCTAGCCCGAACAAGTATAGAATGAAGCTGGGTCATATGTATTTGTAGATACCATGCAGCGGTTGGATTATCCAGTATGGTATGGGCGTGTATCTGTGTGCGAAGATAACAATATTGTCTTCGGGTAATCGTTCAGCACCAGCATGGGCATCTAATAGCTAGCGGTCAGGGGACGTCCGTCAGGCTGTCTCTCATATTGAACTTGAATTGAGAAGCTCCATTAGATGCGTCCCGCAAGACACCCTCTCCGAACCTCATAGGCAAACGGATGCTACTGGAGTGAAGCTCATATCTACATTGGAGTCTCCAATGCACCGCCATCGCTGGAGGACGGAAAGGCAGCGATTGATTTTGGAACATACAGTTGACAAATGCCTCCCCGAGGAAGGCGGACTTAGTCGTGAGCAATCAAGGCGTTCGCCGATAATGAGCATTCAACTAAAAGTCGGCAGCGTGAGCCTGTTTCTTGACGAGAGCACACTGCTGCCCCCATGTTACGTTATGCCTGGCGTTATGTCCTCTTCAAGAAGAGATGATACACTTGGTATTTTGGGGCACGGCTCCTGGTTAATGAACGAGCATGGTGCGACACGAGAATCATTGAATTGACCAGAAAGTTAACAGCTGTGGCGGCCGCAGCCTCGCCCTTAGGGGCTGCAAAAAGCCTCTCGCTGCTCCTTTGAGTATCTAGTTCAGAGTCCTCAAGCTGTGCTGCGTCTATATCCCGTCATCTGACTTGGTCTACGGACGATCTCTGATATCCGACATCAACTTACTCTTATTCTCTCAAAGTTGGCGAAGCTGAGAGAGTTCATCACAAGAAAGGGGTCGGGTGACGTTGGATATTGGACAGGGGGGAATGTTGCTTCGCAGGTGCTGGTTTGGAAGTTCGCAGTGAACTCCAACATAACAGCAACCAAGATTGAAAATGTCTAGATAAAGTGATGTGTAAGGGCTATAGGGTAGCCTACTTAGTCAAGCAGCATAGCCACGGTACCTCACCAAGGACAGAAACATCACTGACATAATGTCTGCAGAGAGCCTTTCCCCCGAATATTTTGACAACGCCCTATTTGATCGACCGTCCAAGTACGGCGAGGGTGAAAAGGATTAGACCAAAGCTGGACCACGAACGCCAATAAGTATACATCTCAATGGTCTTTCAATTCGACTGGATACAAGCATAATCGGACATGATAGATGGAAACGGAATATGAATTGGTCCTTAACTGAAAAGAAAACATCAACATCGCTTTCGGGTATCAAGTAGAATCTCAGGTAGGCACGTAAAGCAACTGCGAGCTCCTGCCGCTTTCCCGCTTTCCCGCAACCCCAAGACACCCAGCAAGGCAAAGTAACAAATCATATCAAATAGAAGCAGCGCAGACACCCATTTCCATGCCAGATGAATTCCAGTAACCCTGCGTCTTCCAAAGAGGAACGACGGCACAAAGCCAATCAGCCAAGTGACGCCCCAAGTACCAAGTGTAATGAACCTTGTTGTTGTTGTTTGCAATTGACAGCCAATGGCCGCCTAAGAGTACAGAGGACGTTCCCCAGATTGTGTAGATGACATAGGCGACTCGAGCTTCAGAATGCGGCGCAGGTTGTCCTCCATGGCGCGGAGATCGGCAGATTGGTCGCCCTGAGGGGCCGGATTATTTCCCATGAAGCCGTTATGGACGTATTGAGCTGGCGGAGCCGAAGCCGGTGGCTGGGCAGCCGAAGCCAGACCTTTGCCCCCAAAGAGATACTTCTTCAGAGCCTCAGAGCGGTCCTCAGCAGGCGAGACCTGCGTGGGTCTCGTGCCATTCGGGGACTGGTTGGGAGTGGCACGGGCAGCGCGGATTCGCTCCTGGTACGGGGTGGAGAAGGCAGGGCCAAGGGGCTTTCCCGAAAAGCCGTCGAGCTCCTGGGCCGAGATTCCACTAGATGATCTCTGGAGGGGCATACGATGCCCAGGGTGAGTATTGTAAGGTTTCGCAACGAATGAGCCGTGGTTGGCCTCTCTCGGCGAAGGGGCAGCGGTTGACCCAGAACCGTCTGTTTGAAGGGATGAGTTGAGAGAACTTGAACGCCGCGCCTGTTCCTTTTCAGCTCTATCGGCTCTGAAAATGGCGTCAAGAGGCGACTCGCGAGCCCTAGGTGCGGTCGCAGGATGTTGAGGTGTGGGACGTTGTCGTTCGGTTGCCGGAGGTGACGGCTGCTGTTGAGCTTCCGGCCTGGGTCCTGGAGATTCGGGAATGGACTTTGAGTAGAAGCTAGGCATAGGCAGGGCTGACGGGGCAGGCGAAGCATGGAAAGTTGCGCCAGCGAAAGCGGCCGCTGCCGACTTGTTCACCGGGATGCTCTGAGGGGTCGAGCGGCGATTTTGGCGGGTGACGTCGGGTGAAGCTACGGTATTGGGATTCCTAGCCCTAGGTTTGTTTCGCGAGCGCTGTTTGGAGCCAGGCTGGTTGCCGTTGCCGGACTGCGGCTCAGGTGAGCCAGAGTATGACTTCTGGGGCGTATGAGGATGACCGGCTTGTTCGAACGCCAAGGTTGAGACATTGGCTACGTCGGTCTCTGATGCGTACATCTTCTGTCCAGCAGCCTTGCCGCCACCGCCCCGATTCTGTCGGCGACGAGTGGGTGTTGGCTTTGCTTGATTTGTTGTTTCTTGCATTCTGAGTCGTAGGAATGGGGTAGTAAGTTGTGTCGCAGCGACCGTAGGGTGGAAACCGGCGGCAGTCAGGGTCGACAAAGAGGGAGAAGTCCTAGACAATGGTCGCTGGAAGGTAAAGAATGCGTTGATTGAGAAGGTAATGATACGATGGTGGCGAGAGGCAGGTATCTGTCGGTCGCAAGGCTTGGATACGCTGGCTGTAGCAAGATTAGATATGCTGGGTTTTCCTTCTTCCGACGGTACTGTTTTGTGCTACGTTCAAGCGCCAGGAGGATGATCTGTTTGAGGAAGCGGATTGGGTGAAAGTGAAAGCGAAGAGTAGAAGCCAGTGTCTGATGCAGGAAAAGCGCGTGTATATTCTCTGCTCATGTTGCCGTACAAATGAGTGACGGGCTGAAGAGTCGAGTAAGGTGACGATGGCAAGTGTCGGGGGAGGAGCAAAGCCACAGCATGCGGCGAAAGAGGGGAGAGGGGCTTAAGTAACCCCGGTGCTAGGAGACCTTGAGCTGAGTGGAGATGTTGGGTGAGTGAGTGTGTGTGTGTGTGTGTGTGTGTGTGTGTGCCTTGCCAAACCTGCCTAGATTGGGCTTGTTCGCTGAGGAACCTGCCCGACTCTGCCTCCTCCTGTCCCATGCCCAGAGGTATCTCGCCATACTAACAAAGCGCGACGGGTACCTAACGTGCCAGACCTACCTAAGGTAGGTATCCGTACGCAGGTAGCGAGCGTAAGGTAAGGTACCTAGCGCGGGCGGTGGCAGGTACATCATCCCGTCCCCTCAGTGTCACTGTCAATCCCATCCCATCCCATCCCATCAAGGATGCCATCCAAGTGGGTACGGATACCATTCCCCTTCGTTCTCCCCTTATCAAGTTGCCTCTTACAGGCTACAGTACCTAAGGTAGTTACGCGTGGCTCAGGAACCTCCGATAAGGGAGAGGTGGATCTTCGTGTTGACCCCTTCACGTGCGCTTCCAGCCTTACTCCTGTCTTCAGCTCCAGACGGCTCGCATTACCTCACCATCCTTGTTTTCGTTGTCGAAATTGGCTACGGGTTGCTGATACGAGTCACGGCCCTGGACTTTCGGAAGAAATGCGTCACTCCGACTCCTCAGGAAAGCCCCAAAGTAGGAAGCAGGGGAGGGATCAAAGACTTGCTTGATTGGTATCATGAAGCAACCGCAATCTTCTCAAGTCAGGCCACTCACGTTTGTAAGATACCTAGTTTCAGTGCCTGAGTGCGATTGTTAAGTCAGAGGCAAATGCTGCAGTTCCTACCTAATGTGACTGTCACTGAATCTGCGCCGTCTTCCAAATCCGCCTCCCATACCACTGTTGTGTCAGATGAACGAAATCGCTGCAAGACTCTCTATTGAAGATTATGAATTCATTATACTTGCTGCCATGGAAAGGGCTTCCAAAAGTTGTCCCAATCCATGAGGTTTTGTGCTGACTTGTTGCTCGGCCCAGTGCGCATTTTCGTAACTTGAAGAGTGTCTTCGTGTCGTAGCAAGCTTAGGTAAAACACTCGCCTGTTCACTGTTTGCTATGGGCTTGCCACTCTCAGGCAGGGCGGGCAGGCCTACCTTACAGGGCACGTTACTGTGACAGGCACCGAAGTCCCGGTCCTGAGAGGCAGGCAACGACCGATTTCCCGCACTGTAGGGGAGGTAGGTCATTCTACGCCTCATGAACCCCGCCAAGGCAGGCGTGGAATGAGGCGCCTTACGGACCGGGGCCACTCCCGCTGGCAGCCTTTCCTGCCCGCCATTCGCATACATCACCAAATCACGGAAACCCGGCCTGCAAACGAGACACGACAAATACCGTGATAACCCTCCAAAGCTCCTTTCTCTTCTCCTACAAACTTGAGGAGTTGCTTTGAGCCATCTTTGTGAGATAATCACCCGCAACCCGGAAGGCTTGGCATAGCCTAGCCTACCCGCTTGCAACCCTTTTGACCTCATTTGATCGGACTTAGCTGACCACCTACAACGACACAGAAAAGGTACGCTTCTCACGTCTTGTCCGCAAGCCTTCCATACTACCGAACCGCTGCTTCCCCTTCGACTTTCAATCTACCATCCTGAACTTGACCGGTATTGCTCAGTCGCGCAGAATTCAAACTTACCGCCTCAACCGTAGCCTGAACCGCAGCTCGATCCATATTCCACAATGGCCGATGTCGATATGACGGATGCGCCCGGCACTGCCGTCGCCAAGAAGGCCGCCGACGGCGAGAGCAAGGCAGTAGACGCAAAGAAGCGCTTCGAAGTCAAGAAGGTGAGTAGATGAGGAATTGGATAGCTTGACCCATGCTGACAAGTGCCTTTAGTGGAATGCCGTTGCACTGTGGGCATGGGACATTGTCGTCGATAACTGCGCTATCTGCAGAAACCACATCATGGACCTCTGTGAGTCGGACGCTGAGACGCAAACCCGATATTTCGCCCTTACGCATGCTAATGATGTACAGGCATCGAATGCCAGGCAAACCAGGCCTCTGCAACGAGTGAAGAGTGCACTGTGGCCTGGGGTATCTGCAACGTATGTTTTCTTTGCTCCATTTGCCTACTCTCGCTAACCTATGTGTAGCATGCCTTCCACTTCCACTGTATCTCACGTTGGCTCAAGGCCCGACAAGTCTGCCCACTGGACAACCGCGACTGGGAGTTTCAGAAGTATGGTCGCTGAGATGGCGCAAGGCTATTGAATGGTGCGAGGATCTCCGTCGATGGACACGCAGCATTATGGTGTCATGGCTACGCAGAATATGGGTACAATAAGAGATACTCTCCTGACGAGCGAGGACTGCGTCCAGCTGGCGAAAACAGCTAGCTAGAGAGGCCCTAAAGGGTGGGCACAGCTACAGATGCAGGAACATACATCACAATGACTTGATGAACAGTTGACGTCTTTTGTCCCGGCTATCCCGACTTTTCTATTGTAGCCACGTTCCGTGTCGCGGACCCGGAGGCGGATCCAGGTTCTAGCCACTTGACTGGGTGTTGCTTGAAAAAGGGCCAAGGAGGCACGACCAAGAGAAATGTGAGTACGGTTCCGCCCAAGCCAACGTAGACTGCGAGCTTGATGTCCTGGAGAATATACCCGATGATGAAAGCAAGAACCTGCAGGGAAGGGCAAGTCAGTATCGTGTGCTATCATGTTCGAGATCGAGCGTTTGTCGGAACTTACTCCAGATGCCGAGAGAAGTAGAGTCGCAAGGAGATCTGCTAGTTTCTGGCCCTCAAAGTCCTATAGGGAACACATTGTTAGCGTCTGGGAGTTGGACATGCGTCAAAGAAGCCAAGGGGGAGGCAAATTTCCACCGGATGACGTACGATCTGGCCCTCCGCGATATCGCGAACCTGGTCGAGGATTTGATCGGCCATTGTAAAAGCACCCGCGAAACTGTCCAACAGAGTTGTCCTTTTTGGTCGTTGGCCGGTTGATGATGGGGAACGCGCTGGAGGATGGATCGGTGTGGTGAATAGCCCCTCTGCCGAGTCGCAGGTGCAGATTGTCGGACCGTGAATGTGTATCCGAATACTTGGTTCTGTGTGCGATTTCGAGGTGATCAGCAATTGATGATCTGGTATTATGGTGGCAGGAGCAAAGGTCTCCAACTAAGGCACCTTAGGTAAGGTAAGGTTAGGTAGGGAACAGGTATGCCGTTTCCGAAGCAAGTCAAGCACGGACTCTGGTCCTCAGGTCTGGTTTTCGAGCTCACTTCGGCACCATGTTCCTGCTTCAGCAGCTGCTATTGGGTGCAGCCCAACCACAAGGCGAACGATGGGGAACGGGCTAAACAGGCTAGCGGACTGTGTGGGGTCACACGGTGCTGTCGCGGCTCCACACCATGGCATGACACACCCAAACATCCTGGCCTGGAACCTGAGAAAAAAGTCTCTCTCGGCTGGCCTGTGCCGCCACCTACCTTAGCGACTCACTGGCTCCAAAGTCGGATTTTCACTCAGAACCGGGAAATCTTCCCTTGCATTTGATCACCTTCTGGCCGTCCCCGTCATCTTTCGGTTCCATTCACCACCAAAAATTTAAAAAAAAAAAACCCTCAACACGCTCAGGACAACCGAAAAACTTGTCGTCCCAACTCCCTTTTTTTCTGTGCAAACCAACCTTTTGCTCATTTGATTGTGCAGCAGTCAGAGCAGCGTTCTTCATCAGATTAGTCTGATCTTGTTCTGGTGGTTGATCTAGCGACCTACCAAAACAATCGCATACTGTTTCCGGACGACGAAGACAAAGTCCCGCATCCTTGGGTCACCATTCGCACCACCTCACCGACGACCATTGTTCCTCGATCGTTATCCGATTCCCTCAACACCGCTCGTAACAACAAACATCCACCTCGTCGACCTTACATACTGTTGTATCTTCCGAACTACTGCGATAAACAGTAGAATCACATTCGACTTTCGAGTTTCCCAGGTCGAAAGGCCCACTTGATATTCTACCCGACACTCCAAACCACCAAGTTGGCTTCACTCGCAGCTGACGCTACCTCACCCACCTGTTCACTCCGAGGTCCTGGTTTCTGGGTCTACAGCGGAGTGCACAAGAAACCTCCGTAATCGGGTTTCAATATCGAAACAGAAATAATTGGAAACATCACACTACATCTTCAGCATTCTTGCGCGTTAACGCTGTCTCCTCAGCGTGTACGCATCTTCTAGGGACTGGCACGACCATAGCCACCCTGGAAGCTCGCTACTCTTTCAGCGCACACCGCGCCGGCCGCGCGGAGTGCGATTCGGCTACGGTCTACATTGAACACGCATCAGTTATGGGTATCGCCGCCTGATTCAAGAGTTGCGGAGGCCTTCGAAGAGGAACGAGTTTGAGACTTACAACCCATTCCATCAAACGGGCTACCCATACAGGCGGGTTAATACTTTCGTTGGCTGTGACCAAGCAATATCATCAGTTTCCAGCACCAAAGCTCAACATGTCTGATCACGAGGAGAACATCTCTGAGGGCGGCTTCAAGACGCCGATCCCTGAGCTCGACGACCACCGCCACCAGGTTGCCACCAGCCCTCACCCAGAGCGGCCGCGAAGAGGCACTTTCGACACGCTCTATGGAGCGCGCCTGCTTGGACCCGACTCGGTCTCCGGAGAGCGATCGCCCAGTATTAGGGTTCGGGACTTTGAAGAGGCAATTGTCGATGACGAGGGAGGTGACGTTTCGCCGCATGCGCGACGGGTTCGTCGACCAACCGTTGAGACGGTCACTGACCAGAGATCCATCTCTCCACCCAACTCGGTGAAAGCCTTTGCTGAGGCGCGCCGTCGCGAGCGCGGTATGTCCTTCTCCGAGTCCAAGGCCGAGAGGAAGGGCAGTGAGGAGAATCTGCATCGCGCTGGCTCAATCAGCAGCCGTCGTAGCCACCGCAGTCGGCCTTACACCGTGGATGATGGCGCCAGCTTGGCTACCAACCAGTCAGCAGAAGAAGATGTCTGTTTTCCTCTTCAAGATCCCCGGCGTAAGGATCAGCTATACATCGACTTCGACTATTTGGAGAATTTTGTCCAGTCTGACCAGGCCTCGCGAACGGCTAGTCGCCGCGATTCTCTCCGAGCCTTCCCGGACCTACGACAGACACAGACGTCTGAGGGTCAGCCTCAATTGCAACTCAGCACCGTTGATGGAGATATTGTCAACATGCCATCTGACACCTCTGATGAGCAAGAGATCTCGGAGAAGGAGCATGCTGCCGAAGATGCTAAGAATAAGCCTGCAGCTACCCAGCAGCCCCTGGACCCCAATCGGTTCAGCTTCTTTTCTTCGGCTTGGGAATCTACGATCCACGCAGCAGAACTTGGGGACTTGGTTCTTCCCGGCGAGGATCTTCGGGGCCTTTTCACGCTCCCCGCTGATGAGTCCGATGGAGTTTGGTGGTTGAATGTCAACAGCCCTACCAAGGAGGAGGTTACCGCCATCTGCAAAGCATTCGGAATTCATCCTTTGACAATTGAGGATATTACGACGCAAGAAGCGCGGGAAAAAATTGAGCTGTTTCCTTCGTACTACTTTGCAAGCTTTCGATCTTTTACCCCGGTTCAAGAAGACGACGGCTTGGAGTATGAGCCGTACAACCTCTACGTCGTCGTCTTCCGCGAGGGTACTCTGAGCTTCAGCTTCGAGCCCAATGCCCACGCCTCTCACGTGCGCAAGCGTATTGCCCTGCTTAGGGACTACGTTGCGCTAAGCAGCGACTGGATTTGCTATGCTCTGATGTAAGTGGACACAGTCGAAGGCAATTATCAGTGCTAACCTGTTGAGTAGTGACGATATTGTGGATTGCTTTGCTCCAGTCATCCGCGACATTGAGTTGGAGGCTGACGCTATTGAGGACGGCGTCTTCGTAGCCCGCGAGGACGATTCAAACCAGTTCCTGCGGTCCATTGGCCGAGTGCGCAAGAACACCATGGCTCTCATGCGCCTTCTTGGAGGCAAAGCTGATGTCCTGCGAGGCTTTACCAAACGTTGCAACGAGAACTACAAGGTTACACCTCGTATGGACATTGGACTTTATCTCGGCGATATACAGGATCACGTCGTCACCATGGTCACCAACCTCGGCCACTTTGAAAAGATCCTATCTCGCTCCCACAGTAACTACTTGGCTCAGCTTTCCATCAACAGCATCTCTCAGGGTACACACACGAACTTGGTACTCAGCAAGATCACGTTCCTGGCGTCGATTCTCGTTCCGCTCAACCTTGTTTGTGGACTGTTCGGCATGAATGTCCCGGTCCCCTTTGCGGACACTTCTCTTGTTCCGTTCTTTGTCATCCTTGGAAGCTTGATTCTCTTCAGCGTTGTGAGCATGACCTTGGCTCGCAAGTACAAGTACATCTGAAGATCACATGAGGGCGCTGTCGTCAAAGTTACGACTTGGATTCCTTCCGTGCCGTCATACTAGTATGGCTTGAAGCATAACTGTGATGGCTTGTGCAAGCAACAAAACAAGCAATGGATTGGATAATAGTACTGTTACGTCGGTAGTCGACTTTAGTCTTAGTCTTGGTAGATACAAGAGAATACGAATTGGCTTCGATGCTTTTCAAGATGTGTCTCATGTAAACCTGATACTTACTAGTTCTACAACTCAGTAAGGCTTATTCAACCTAAGTCGTCATTACAAAACTGAGAAGTTCGTGCTTTGCACTACTCTGTAATCTTGAGGAGTACCTCGATGATGACCGTCCCTTAAGGTCAGATAATTCCGTAGTAACGCACAGACTCAGCCAATAGGAGATGCCTAAGTTATAGTGGAGACCAAAAAAAAAAAAAAGCTGGATGCCAGAAGCACGCACTGAACGGCAAATACTTCCAGCCTTTTGATCTCTACCATACTATCATCGCAACCGACATAAGCACCTCCATCCCGCACTCGCAATCCCTAACGAACAACGCATTGTCGATTACTTGGCAAATTCACAAACACGCAACAATGGACTCCTCAAGATCAGCGCTCGAGAACTCGGACCTCGACAAGCTCAACGACAAGGACAAGCTTGAGCTCCGCCAATTCCTTGCCAACGAGCAGCAGAGATCCCAGATTCAGTCACGTAAGTATACTTCTTTCTCCATGAAATCCTATTATAGGGGGCCACGTCAGATTGAAGGTGATGGGAGCCTATGGGAGGCATTAGCACATGCGCGCGGTCCAATCTGATGGCGCAGAAGAGAAGGGAACTGGTAGCTAATTCAAATCCCGGAACAGAAACCCACGCCCTCACCGAGATCTGCTGGAAGAAGTGCGTCAGCGGCTCGATCCGTGGCTCGAAGCTGGACAAGGGCGAGGAGGGATGCCTGGCCAACTGCGTTGACAGATTCCTTGACGTCAACTTCCTGACAATGAAGCACCTCAACAACATGCGCTCCGGTTAAAGGGGTTCAGAGACAACCGTCGGATCAGGCACGCTGGAAAAACAAACAGGAAACAGGCAACGGAACACTCCATAACGACATACTCGTAGGGGATACGGTAGACCGGATTAGGAAGGGGCGTAGGGGAACTTCGGATGGAAGTTGCTCATGTACACGCATATGTATAACTATGTTACGAGAAAGAATGGCAGTCCCATCATGTCAGAACAACATCTGATGTTTTATCACTACTTCACGGTTGCACCTTTGCGTCCGAGATACGAGAATGGTCACGGGAGGAAGCGAATTCCGCATTCATGTGCATTTTTTGAGACTGAACACGGTCATGGTACCCCAGCCTGAGTACCGGGAGAATCGATTGGTGCCCTCGAGGAGATGCCACTCCTTGGGAAACTGTATCAACAACCTTGAGACGCCCTTGCCAATGCCTTTTACAGTCGATGAACCCGAATCGCTTTTTACTTTTTCATTTCCCATTCCCATTTCAGTCCCTCGCGGAAAGTGAGTATCCGCTTTAAACGAGAGCCAGCTTGGTGGCGGCGATGTCAAGTGCATCGACGTCGGGGGTGAGGCGGGCGTAGGCCTTCTTGGAGCCGTCGGGGCGGATCAGGGTGTTGATCTTGACGGTGTCGATGTCGTAGAGCTTCTTGAGGGCCTGCTTGATCTGGGCCTTGTTGGACTTGACGTCGACGATGAAGACGAGGGTGTTGTTCTCCTCGATCTTCTTCATGGCGGACTCGGTGTTGAGGGGGTGGACGATGATCTTGTGCTCATCGAGGCGGGGCTCGTGGGGGATCGACTTGCGGGGGTACTTGGGAGCGCGCGAGACGACGAGGGTCTTGGGGCGGTGGAACGAGGTGGTGTAGCGGACCTTGTTCTTGTAGTGACCGTGGGCCTAGGTAAGATACTGTCAGCTTTCTGCTTGGTCTGGCAGACAGTGCCCGTTCTCCCTCCCTCGACTCCGAGAATCTTTGTCGTCTTGGAAAGTCGCGGGGCAGAGGAGTGTTTGTTTGTACTTACACCCTTCAGGGCAGCCTTGGCAGCGTTGTTGGCCTGCTTGGAGCCCTTAGGCGCCTTGGAGGCACCGCCTAAAGTAGAGATGTCGCATCAGCAATCGCTCTTTATTTTCAAAAGAACTCGCAAAATCTGCTGTAGCATGATGCTCCGGGAGAGAGGTTCCGGCGTAGAGATTGTTGATGTATCCCCCGTTCCGTCACCGTTCTACCCGTCGCTGTCGACGAAACAAGAGATTTTGTCGAGTCGCCATTGTGTGCGTTTGTGTGTATGGTGGTTTGGAATGTTGCGCTCGCAGGTGTTCAATTCCTGCTGCTGCCGGAAGGTTGTTTCAAGTACCTTTCTTCGAGTCCTTGGGGGCCATTGTGACTGATGGGGATGTTGGCTGGTTGGGCGGGTTAGCTGGGTTGTCGTCGGTGTCGAGGTCGAATGCAAAAAGAAGAGATTCCGACAGTCAAATGTTTTTTTTCTCTTCTGTGGGCTTAGGGTTGAACTGGTCTGTGCATTTCGATTCGTTATCTTATCTTAGCTGGAGGGCGGAAGCGGGGGGAGGTGATGAGGAAAATCATTTCGCCGTTGCTGGACTGGAACTGCGCTCAACCTACCTAACCCGGCGCTTGCCAAATGGAAACAAACCGCTTATGCAATGCTTGACTTACACTCTACGAGCAGGGGAAGGAAAAAAACCCAAGCACCTGCAAAGCCGACTTTGATATTGATCTCACTGAGTATATCCAAAGCTCACTCAAAGTACGCGACCCAGAAGTGCAACTCAAAGCCTTGCTATTCCTCATCTTGTTCGCTCTCCTCCTTCCAAAACGGTCGTCAGAACCATGGGAAGAACCAAGCCCCCCAACAAGCTGTTGTCCAGAGGCCGCCCTCCCACTACCAAAAAAGCAAAGTCGATATCTCGCAAGGAGACCAGAACGCTTATCAACACTCATCACACCTTGCAGAAGAAACGTCAGCAAGCATTGGCTCGAAATGATGAGAGAGAGGCAGCAGCGGTTGCAGCCGAAATTTCTGCCCTCGGCGGGCTCGAGGAGTACCAACGAGCCAGTCTCCAAGGCCAACGAGTAGATCGCGGCGGAGACAGCTCGAAAGTCCTACTGGACTGGCTGCGATCAGCCAACTTGCAGTCATCGAAGTCCAAGGACACTCAAAGTGAGGGGAAGCGCGAGGGCGGGGCGCATCGCCGATTGCGAATGCTCGAGGTGGGCGCTCTCAGTACTGATAACGCTTGCTCCAAGAGCGGCTTCTTCGATATGACTCTCATCGACCTCAACAGCCAACGGGCGGGCATCCTTCAGCAGGACTTCATGGAGCGACCTCTGCCAATGGACGACTCGGATCGGTTTGACATCATCTCACTCAGCTTGGTGGTCAACTACGTTCCTGACCACTCACTCCGTGGTGAGATGCTTCTCCGCACGCTTTCATTTCTCCGCCAGCCCGAAGACGATCTATCGGATACAACTCGCGCCCTGTTTCCCTCACTATTCTTGGTCCTTCCTCGGAGCTGTGTTGATAATTCACGCTATTTCTCTCAGGATCGGTTGGTTGAGATCATGACGGCCTTGGGATACGTCCAACTTGAGGGAAAGGCCACCAACAAGCTGGTGTACTCATTCTGGAAGAGGGCAAATACTCCAAGCAAACCGTTGCCCTCGTTTACTAAGAAGGAGCTCAACCCGGGCATGAATCGTAACAACTTCACAATCACCCTGAAGGGTTCATGATTACATGCTACTAGATTGGATCAACTTTTCGGCCCATGGAGCCGGCTAGCTGATCATCAAGTGTTTTGAAAACAGGACATCACTATTGCCATTGTGACTAAAGACGGGACCCAATCACGATTCTGGCTGCCTTTTTGGGGGCAGTACTGGGCGATCAGACGCCGAGGCGGGCCTCGAGGTGTTGTAAGTTCCAAGCGTTCTCCCCTCACAGCGATCGACAGGCGATCGTCCATATTCTCGCTTCTGTTTGGACGCCTCGAGGAAGTCACGTTTCCAATAAGCCAACGATGACCTATATTGTGGGACGAATGTCGTCGGCACGACGAGCTCACGATAAACCCCGCCGTCCGGGCATTTGGCAAGCGCCCGTTGCAAGCGAGGGCCCGCCGCGGCTGCTTTCACCTGCCTTCCACGGGACGGACGAGTCCATGTTCTACATCTGGATCAACCGGCAATTCATGCGAGACAATATATGGACTTTGTCGGCTGCCGCGGGCCCTCTGGCGTTTGGAAGGGGCGTCAAGGTCTCGAGCTCCAGTGGTGACAGCTTCGACCTGCCTGTTTCTCACAAGTTGACCATCCCGTTTCCGGCCTCTTCTTAGCTGTTGCGGGTAAAGCTAGGTATGAGATCCCGCGTGCCTGGAGCCGAGGAATGGGCGACGGGCATCTAGAACAGATTTGGCTTGAAGAGTAAGGGATAGAATGGACGGGACAAGAGATGTGGAATTGGGCAGTCGACGGAGATGGGAAAGCTGAAGATGGTGTTCACCGGATGCAGACTGTATTCGAGGCGTTTCCATGCCGGTTTGTCTCCAATAGCGCTACCAAAGTCTAGGAGGAACATTCGTCGTCGGGTACCCCGCAAGTCAAATTAGTCGCGTATCAGTGTTTTGATCCAAGGCCCTTGAGTTCGTTGAAGTCTCTGATCGGCTGCAACGTTGGGCTCAGGTCATCCGGGAGTGGAGCGTTGCCGGGGCGGACGACGGGAATGCTGTGCATTCCGGCCTTGATTGCGGCTGTGACTTCGTTGGGGTTGTCACTGAGGAAGAGCCATTCCTCAGGCTTGGTGTCGGCAAAGCTTGATAGGATGGAGGCATAACTGCCGGGCTCAGTCTTGAGGCCGGCGTTGACCGTGTCGAACCAGCCCGAGATGAGGGGCGTCAAGTCCGCCGGCTGAGCATCTGTGTAGCCAAAGAAGAGCTTCTGGGCGGGAACAGAGCCAGAGGAGTAGATGACGAGGCGTAGGCCGGCGTCCTTCCAGGACAAAAGACGTTCAGCGACATCCGGAAAGAGAGGCGCCTTAATTTCACCTGACTTGTAGCCCTCTTTCCAGAGGTAGCCCTGGAGGGCCTTGAGGTACGATGCCTTGACATCGCGTTTGACAAGGTCGCGGAAGTGCGCCTCGAAGACTGATCGATCGGACACGCAGTCCTCAGGGAACGCATTACGGTAGACTGCAAACTCGGGATTGTCCCACTGCTTGTCTAGGGTAGCCGGAAGGGCATCGACGGCATACGGGTACTGGAAACCGAGACATCAGCACGGGAATGAAAATCGGCGGGACTGTGCCGCCGTGGGAGCAAGCGCACGGTTGCCCGGCTCGGAATGAAGAAATCACCCCCGTGCCATCGGAGGAGAATTCAAGGAAGTCATCCGGAGGGGGCCGCAAATTACCCGATGGACCAGGGGGTGGGTGGTTGGTAGGAATTGGGGTGAGACGACATACCAGCACATCTTTGACGAAGGATATGGGACAAACGGTTCCTTCTGCATATTTGGAAAGTCTCGAATCAGCATGGGCAATGTTATCGAGACTCGAATCCACCAATGCAACAGAATCATACTGGATGCGGTGAGTTCGGCATCGGGTAGGTAGGAAGGCGCTCACCGATATCGAGCAATACGACACTAATAACGCCGAGGTTGTGGGCCATTGTGTGAGCTGTCTATAGAGAGAGAAACTTGATATTGTGGGTTGTCGTGACAAGGTGAGGCAGCAGGAAGAGAAAAAGTTCAATTCCCGGAGTGACACGTCGAGACGGTGAGACTTGGGGGCGCGACGCGCGATCAGACTTTTTTTTTTCCTCTTTGCGGTTGTCTCTTCTCGCTTCTAAAGTGAGATCCTTCAGCGGCGTTTCGAAGAACTGTTTACTTCCCACTTCAAGCTTTCCGCATTTCAACGGAGGCAGGTTGACAGGCGCTAGCTAGTTCATGCATGAAGGTTGTGACGGCGGGAGATTAGAAGAAGGCGGTCAAGCCAGCGTCCGGAAGTCGAGTAGGGCCGGAACGGGAAAACGCGGTTGCAGACCTGCAGATTTGCCGTACGGCTGCCCGGTGCAGGTGAGAGTTGGTGCGAGGTGTGTCTTGTGTGTGTGTGATTCTGTGTGCCCGTGTAAGAGAGAGAGAGAGAGAGTTGGGTTGCGCAACGCCGCAAAGGTGTGTGTGAGTGGAGATGGCGAATAAGGTCGCAGAGGGCTACACCAACCCAGGCGTGCCATGGTAACAGCCGGTGACTTGGCCCAATAGCAGCAGACTGTTAAGACATCGATTGCATGACCAGGACAAGCACTGAAGCAGCGGTGAAGACTGAAGAGGGAGGATTCAATTGGGGGCGATATCAAGCGGTAGCGGCTGGAACGAGTCCGTCGTCCGCGGACCAGCCGACGACAGCGGCAGGGTGGCTCTCTCTCAAGGCTCATGTAGCGAGTAGGTGGATGAACATTTTGCGGCCGGACGGTGAACTCGGGGGCCGGAAAGGGGGAGCCGGCGTGAAGCTGGTCGCGAGTCCGTCACGCATTGTCAGGCGGTCTGGTTCCCCACCATCGTGAGAATTTGACAGGTCACCGGTGAACTCGAGAGAAGCGCAGAGAAGGTCGTCGTCCGGTCCTCGTACGGGCGTCGACGGACGCAAGGACGATGCGCTCGGGTACCTTGCGTGGAGCACGCCGGCCTCGTTCCCGAATTCTTTCAACGGAACGCCTGGTTCAGGTCACCGGCCGAGAAGCCTAGGATTTGACATCTTGGTTAGGCCGCTTATGGGTATCGAGAACCCCACACCTGCCCAAAATCTATGGAGCGGGATTCTAGAACCAAAACGAGCACGCCAGAAGAGACTGGAGCTATCTCTTGGCTTTGGTTGGAAGTTGGAGCTCCTGGCAAGTTGACAGGTCGAGACTCGGAGAGTTGAGAGGACACACACAAGCGCTGCGGTTAACAAGGCTATTGGGCTGAAGTTCGAGGTGGCTAATAGTTTCCTTACTTTTTTCCTAATCGGTTCGGGCCCCCCTGCCGATTGAACCTCCGACACACATGCCGTGCCCTTTTCGTGCAGTCTCATCGTTGCTGTGCTTCCATCCAATCGTGCCTCTCTGCGATATCGATCCTTGTCACTTATGTGATCTCGTGGTACGACTATCTCCCTACTTTACGAATACCAACGCCAGAATTCCACAAGGGGCATGGGGAATCGGGATGCCACCGCAATGCAAACAAACATTGCCGAAACGGACTTGGAATGGAAACGGCGATGGCGGCGTGGGCATCGCAACAGCAAGGGTCCAATGCATTGGCGCCTTGAATTGACAAGCCGCACGACATTTGAACGCATTTGTTTCTGAGTTGCCAATCTGTATGAGTAGCTTGGCCTAGAGATGCTTCTGTCCGCATTCGAACGTGTGGCAGTTGAGCCAGACTATCCGCCAAGTGCGCCATGCCGTTCTGAATTCTGAAGCATTCTCAAAGCTCGAGCTTCGGAGGCGTCCCGCTCTCATGAGTAACGTGTCTCGCTGACATATGATGGTGATGAGCGGACCACTGATATTGGTATATGCCAATTAGCAAGCGGCGGATTGAGGCCGAGCAGGCGGGTGCGGACGGCGTGGATTTCGCCCAATGCTGGACGGACGCAAGATGTACTCAACATCACAATAGGTCACGCCCTCTTCCATCTACTTTGCCATTGTGGATTCATCTGCCTTGACTGGCCTTATAGTCTGAGGGTCGAGATGCGTTTGCTGTCGTGCGCTAGCACGTCCTCGTGCTAGAGTCCCAACGGTGTGAATCAACGGGAAAACCTGGAAGCTTGATGGAAGAAAAAGCGCAGCGCACGGCCTGCTTCGTGGGATCTAGTTGCACCCGCGAGAACGAAGAAAGTCACGAAAGAGCGAGGACGGAGAGATACTTCACGGTGAAGCATCTGGACCGCGTGGCCAAGAAAGAATGAACTTGTCGCGGGCCTCGATGAACACGCGCGGCGGCATCACGGACCCTGGCTCTGTTCCGATTCTCGCCTCCCTAACACGCAAGTGACGAGGTGGATAAGCCTTTTTTTTTCTGCTGGCCACATGTGCTTTCGCCGCCGCCGCCGTAGCTTGACACATATTTTCACGAGCCTAGATAGATATCTGGGGCCAGAGATGTTGATGGAGCGGTATGAATGACGGGGCGGAACATCAACGTAGTACGGATCTGATACGGTGGTCGAAACCAAGGTACCTAAAGGACTCAACACCAGACAACTCAATCTACCTGAAGAGTGACTTCATGACACGCCTGATAGACTTAACGAGAGTCACTCCATTACGAACATTGTTGACAAAAGTCACCGCGTGCTTCCATCACGTCCTGAGCACATGGTAAAACGTACGGATGCCCGGTGTTCATTCCCGTGAAGCTCGCCGCTCACGGCGGCGGGGTTATCTCGAACGCCGGCGACGATCCGTTGCGCTCGCCCGCCTGTTCCGTGTCTAACGTATCCATCACCCCATTCGTATCGCGGCCGACTAGTCACTTTGGCCGTTTTGACTCGCCAGCAACGAAAGTAAATGTTTTCTGCCTGCCAGCCGCAAAAAGCAAAACACCTGCAAAACGCTCTAACTTGTCCAGAAGGGGGCTGTATGGTTGGTTGATGATGGTGGTGGTGGGGTGGTATCGTGGCATCTCTCCTGTCTTTGCAAGACATTCTGTCGCCTAAGCGAAGTCAGTTTTGTGTAGCCATTTCGCCCCATGTATCGCCAGATAGGGCGGTAAGACGAGACAAGCCATGGAGGTCCATCAAACGTTGAAGCGAGACATGGTAATCAGCTGTTATTCGGAGTTCTGATTTGTTTCTCTAAGTCGATGTCTGCACCGCCTATGTACTAAGGTACTTGGAGCTAAGTCCTGACTGGTACTTTGCAAGCCCCCCCAATTGCCTGCGGTAATGAGCGTGCTGCGGCATTGAGGCTTTCGTATGTTCCTCCGTCTCTCTCGTGAGGCGTGGGGATTGATTCCCGGTGACGGAGGATATTGCTTCAGGGTCATTCATTCAGCAGTGAGACCACTATTGCACAGTCACCCGACCAAGTCGTTGGGGAACGGAGTGGCACCGGGGATGTGGAAAGGCGTGGTGACTCGTGAGAAGCACACAAACGCCGACTGCGGCCCCCCCCATTTCCCGTTCGAGTGGGAAAGGAGGTCATGGTTGCACTCACGTTATGACTGATACCTTTACTTGATTATCCGTACCTTCATCATCGTCAACCCGGCCTGCCGAACCATTGAGCTATGCCAGGGATGCGTTTCCACGCGGTAGGAGTCAAGTTGGCGAACTCCGCGATTATTACGTCGCCTGGATGGCACACACATACCGGTTTGGATTGTACACTTGTTCACGTCCCGAGGTGCACATGGTAAACTGAGATGAAGAAAAAGGCTGCGGCCACACCTGCTGCGAACCTTTTCGTAAGAACCAATTTGGGTTCATGAGGGGATGACGAAGAGCGTCAACGTCTGAAACACTCTCGAGGAGCGGCCATGATCGGCATCAGCCAAGGCTCAGCGTCACGGGCGCTAAGTACACATAGCAGAAGCATCAGCTCTGAGCCTGTGAACTGTAGAGGGCCTCTTTGGGGGCCCAGCTTTCGAGGTGAGGTGGCCTTGAGAGCACTTGGGGGTCACTGGGGAGTCACATCAGCGTTCAGTGATCGGACGAAGGTTTGACGTTAAGGCCCCCTCCCCAGACCTCGGACTGGGCCAGATTATCGATACGAAGCAAGGGGGGTGGGTGGGTTCAAGGTTTCAATGTCGCCATGTTGCGAAGCTGTAATCTCAGGGACAGTCTGAATTGGACACGCAGATATAGAATAGAATGCAGATCGGTTCGCTTGCTTACGGCCAAGATGAAGCGTGAATCGGAAGGAGGAACCGTGAAAGATAGCTGCCTCATCTACGATAATGCAAGATAAAGCTCTCCGCAGGACCAGTGTCCCACCCGTATCAACGGCCCACGGGTCATCTGAGATAAATCACTCTGGGGTAAGTTGTACATAACATGTAAGAGAGAGTAAGCAAGGAGATTGGGACCCTTCAAATGGAGGAGGGAGGTTAGACACCATTTAGGAAAGGACCCATGAAAGCCCGTTTTCTTGTTCTGGAAAGTCGATGGAGAAGGATTTGTGGCACAGGGCCGGCGGCGCTTGGGGACCTCCCAAGTTCGTGGGAAACTCTGGGGAATTCGTGGCCGTCCGTGAGCATTTCTCTTTCCTTTACCCCCAAGGCATGAATATGGGAGTTCAGAGGGGCGCCTTTGAACAGATAACACTGGTTGTGCGAACAAGATACGGGACGGGATTGACAGTAAGGATACTTTGAACAGGTCCGCGACGCGATAAATGATGTCGAGCGGGCGCGATTAGACTTCTGTCCCATCTGCAGGTCGAAAGGAGCGCAGTGTCATACGACCAATGAGACCAAGGCAAGTGAGCAGGTGAAACAGAACCCCAAGGAATCCAGTCGAGAGATTGTACGAGGTAAACAGCTGGCGTTGTCGGCTGGCGTGCTGACGGTCTGAGAGGGCACAGAGGCTGCCAGGAAGGAACTACACAGCAGGTTCCGTGCACCGTCTCTGGACAATACCTAGCTAGGTACTGTAACGGAGGGGTCGAGAGGACCGTTAGGAAACCGTCGGCCAGCAAATGTTCTGATACCTACCTGTAGGTATACTCCGTGATAATGTTCGGCTATTGACTCTGCCTCTCTGCATTCTCAAGAGTCTCGAACTCTCAGCCCCAATTCCAAGTCACCAAGCTCTTCACAGTCGCCTCTATTGAGAAGGAGGCAAGAGTAGGCAATAGCAATGACAATCTGGCAATGAGAGTTGGACAACTGTCCTTACTCCTTACTACGTGACTACTCTGACATATCCACCAAGACTTTTTGTTGGGACGGGAGTCATAGGACTGGGCAACTGACGTGACGAGTTGCAAACCTGCTACTATTCTTGTTCAGGGGACTTGGGGACCTGGGGATCGTGGACGTGGCCTGTAGGCTGTATCCGTACCGCGGCAATGCACTCCAATTTCGGTCCACGGCCAAATGACCAAATGACCAAATAACGATATTCTTCAGCCATGATCCAGATCCACGTTTTCCGAGAATACTGGATCCCACATTCTTTCCGAGTAAAGAGAGAGGGAAATCGGGGGACCCGTTACGTTGCCACTCTATCTTTGGAAGCTAAGCCATAACAGGCACGTCCATTCATTTGAGATATCCAGATCTGCGAATCAGCATAGATAGCTTATGTAAAAAGATACCCAATAGGAAAAGCCGTGGTCGTGGCGTGGATGCTAAGCAGTCACGGGGTCTTCCGAATTCCAGGGACGGATAAGGCGACCTTGCCTAACCAGAACGATGAGAGTGCACGATGAATGGAAATCCACTGAGAGCGTGACATGACATTCAGAGAAAGGGCCTCTTTTTTTCCCCTGATAATATCCACACAGTGGCTCATTCCGGCACCGCGTCCACTGTCCGAGGGAACGCCTTCGGCAGTTTGCCATGGTGGAATCGTACAAAGTGCTCCGTATACGAATAGGATAATGCAAATGCAGGCCCAAGTCAATGAGGCCAGGAGTCTCTGGCGGCTGGCCAGCGCTGCTGGTACCCGTACCTGGCAGGCGAGACTTTGTGTTGGCGCCAGGAGCGAATGAGAAGTTGGCGATGGTTTGCTGGCACTACGAATTGTTAGTTTTGGATCTAAGGCCGTCTGGACCCCGTCGATCGCCTTCCCTCATTGTGTGAGAAGTGCAAGAAGGTTGCGCGCTTCCCGCTGCGACCGCCCTACACTGTGTCTGTTCGTCGATGCTGCAGGCGGCAGACGATTTGGAGCGCCGTCGCAACGGGAAGGGAAGCCTGGCTTGCCTGGCACCCCGGATTGTCGACGGGCCTTTGACTGGCTGGCGACGGCTGCCGTGGCAGAAGGAAACACACAATGACCTGGAGCATGGCTTGGCTTTTCCTGGCGCTGGCAGCCTGCATGCATTCCGCTGGTTTCGCAGTACGCGGCAGTCATGTCGAGGTTGAAGCTGTCGACGCCCAGACATTGCGTGAGCTGTACTTGCTGACCACGTACCCCCCAGAGCGGTGTGGCGACTAGCGATGCATCTAAGTGGATCAGGGTTTCCAGAGACGGTCGGCACTGGCTGGCTGTGTCCGTGGTGGCTGCCAGGTACGTAGCCGGCTGTGCATCGACGACGGCCATGCAATACGCTGGTTTTCGACTCTCTGTACGGAGTTGCAGTACTTCGTACGGTCACTTGGCTGGGCTACCTCCCTACCAGCTCACGGGACGGTAGGCCCTCCGTCAAAACATGCTCACCGTCTACTATCGCCCACCGTCCAAGAATGATCTACTGTGGAGGAAGAAACGTTGGAGCACGTTCCTTTCTGGGCATTCGCAATACCTTGGCTTCTCGGTGCCATCTATTGACTTTGACTGTACTGTATGTCTCTTCTTTCTAGGCCAACTGTCTTTCTCATTCGCACGTCTACTTCCATAACAATTCACAATAGGGCACTACTCTGTAACAACGTATCATCACTCGCACGCAATACTGTCGTCCAGGTCTCGCCATACCAATCATCAATGTTGCACGAAGCCGCACAGCAATAGAGCTAACGAGAAGTTAGAACAACCAGAGAGGGGAAGATAGTTCGAGACCTCGAGTGTTCAACCCCAGACGGTCCCTTGCAGCCACCTCGCACATCACACCTTAGACCTTCATCGTCAGCGAGTTTGCGAACGTTCCCCCCTCCCCCCGGTCGAGCAGCCTGCCAGCCATTCGCGGATTCATGCCCTTCGCAGGGGTTCGCCCGCTGTCTCAAGGAAACTTCCCACATCTCGAACCAAGTTTCCGAGAGGCCCTTGTCAGTCGCACTGTCCCGCCGGTCAATCTCCCTTGCCTCCCCTGAGCTTGGGTGTGCGAGATACATCTGATCCCACAGAGATTACCTGCCATCTCCCGCACTGCCAGTCCCCTCCATGGTGTACCTCGCTACCGGGCTTCGTCATAGTTACGCTGCTGCACGAGTTTAATTGCCTTGCGGGCACCCCTCGCGCCAGCGTTCTTCGCAGGTTGTTATTGTTGCAGCAGCCGTATTGTTGATGTTTATGTTGATTAACAAAATTATTCGGCGCCGACCCCGTGTCTACTTGGTTGTGTCAGCCAATCTACACAACAACTACATACATAGCGGCAACGCATTCTCGTCTTACGTATCAACACAGTGGTATCACCGGCTACCCAGAGATTGCGTATTTCGGACACTGCTTTCGTCTTGGATTCGCCATCCATCGAAGCCAATGGAAGTCACGGCGGGCGGTTTTCGTGCCGTGTACTCCGTTATGAGCAATCAAGTTTATCAATCAAAGCGGTCCCGTTGAATCGTCCGCTCCGACGATGAGTAACAGCAAAAAGCCCCGTCTACTATTCGCCGGAACGGGCACCGAGTTACCTCTTTGCGCTCTCCTTTTTCTCAGTGGATTCTGGAGAGGATCCCGACAACTATGACTCTTGCTTCCTCGCTGGCAGCTCCCAGTTCCAGCAGGTTACGGGGCCGGAGAGATGATGAAATGGGCTCTCAAGACGGGGCGGACGGGTACAAGTTGGGCGAGAATCGCTGTGCCGGGACCCGTTGATTATCCACCGTGGGTTATGTCAATAGTCAGCTGGTCTGGTACACCTGGGCCTGGCCGCTGAGTGATGCAGACGTGCTCCTCTGTGTTCCTCTGGGCTTGGCTCAGTAGATGAGGTACCTCACTCGGCAGACGGCTGCCAGCCCATTCAGTACCTAGCTCACACCAACTATTTGCACTAGGTTTACCAAGGCACATGGTTGACTTTCCAAGTTGACCTCGAGGCTCGTCAGTGCGTCAGACTCAGCCAATGCTGGGCACCGTGAACCCGTTATGACACCGCTGACGGCACAGTGTCACAGTCTTCGCACCCTCAGCCCTCACCGTCAGAGGTCTGGACCTCCAAGCGTGGAGCCGATTAACGGAGTTGTAAACGGAAACCAAAGTAGTGTATGTACAATGTCTACATGCGTCTCGAGAGAAGACACAAACATCAGAACAGGCCATTCAGAGACAGCAAGTGGGGCTTCTGGGCTGACCCGGCCTTTCACTCACTGGCCGTCTCTTTCGTCTGTTCTCTGCATAGGCATGGAGAGAGAGCTGCCTCGCCCCCTCCACAGTTCACACGCCTGACTGCTGTCTCTGTCTGAGGTTGGTTGTCGTGTGTCTGGGGAAGCAACAGAGCCAAAAGGGGGGCTGAGATCTGAACAGACTGGAGCGAGCAATCGAAGTGTCGGTCTGTCGGTCTGGCTGACTGGAGTGTTTTCGGGCATGGCTGGGTTGCGTTGCATCGCGTCTGGTTGCCAGCCCAGCGAGAAAGCAAGCCCAGTCGTGTCCTGCAGGAGGATCAGGATAACATAGGATAGTGCATGGTATTACTGGGTAGCTACTAAGGTCTACATACGGATAATATGCAGGAGACAGTTGTCTGGTGCTGGGGATTGGAGAAAGATGTGAGAGACAAGCAATCCTGCTTTGAATGCTGTCTGCAAGTTGGTCAAGCGTACGTTCCGGTCGTCCCACTCCCCTCCCCCCATCATTCCACGTAGCGCGCCATGCTTCCTGTCGACTTGTCCCAGACTGCCCAGTAGCTGTGCCAGGTGCCAGCCCCGTGAGTGCTGAGGATACGTACTCTTCCTCCACCGCTTTGTCGACCGTCCGTCACCCTTTTCCAAGGATGCTACCTAAGCAAGCTCAGCATTGCTCAGGTAAGGAACCTATCCAGGTACCTAGGTGGCCCCATACGCACGCGGCGAGGTAAGGTACCTGACTGTGTACGGATACTGCGTGAGGCAAGGTAGACTTTCATTCCGTCCCAGTTCTCTCAGTTCCATCTGGGGCCCCCGTCTTGTCGGTACGTATCGCCGTAAATGTAGGTACTTGCACCTCACCGTCCCGGAGCTGTCGCGACACGCAGTCCCCGGTACGTACTCCCGCGCTCGCCTTTCCACCCCCGGTCTGCCTATCTCGCTCCTGGTGTTCCTCGCTCTCTTGTCGCTCTGTCGCTGTCTCTCTCTCCCCCATCCCGTCTTATCCAAGCCAATCCATCCTCGTCCATCCACCTCCATCTTCTTCTTTGGCCGTCTTTTGCTCTCACACTCTCTCTTCACTCACTTCCACACCTCTCTTTCTCTCGCCTTGTATTCCCTGTCCTGCACCAGCCTACCCACCACCACCCATTTGCTTCGTCCAACCTACCTTACCGTACCGTCCTCTCTGCCTCTGCCTGCACTTACCTACTTTACTCTAATACTCCCCCTTCATCATCCTCGCCCCTTCTCTTGTTTGCTTCCTCTACTCTACCATCCTTCAATCATCGTCGTCAACGGCCTCTCTTCCTCTCCTTGCTTGTTAGCTTCCTCTCCCCCGCCTCCCTTTACCACCACCCTTTCGCTCCGACCTCCTTATCATCTACCCGCCCATCAACAAATCCACCGATACTCGCAACGCCAACTCCCGCGTGCCCACCCGCGAGTCATACTTGCAAGCAATCACGCAATCTCCTGTCACGCTCTGCCGTCGAGTTGAACAGTATATCAATCAGTCAACCCATCGACAGAGATAGGATAAGAGAGGCCTCAGGGACTACGATTTCCGTACAAACTCCACCAGCCTCGGCAATTTGCTGTCATTGAACATTGACTCACACCTCGTGTCCTTTGACTCACTTTGGCCCTCGCCTTTGTCACTCAGCATTCGTCCACGCCTTAAGCAACGACACCTCCCTCACCCATCCATCGAGACAAGAGCTACCATCTCCCATTGACCGACACTTACCAACGATCCTCGTCTGTCGATTCGTTGTCACACTCCTCAACGCTCGAATGCTTCCGTAGCCACTACTCTCGCCGATCTCGGTAGTCAGCTTGCTTGCAAGCCGTTGCAATTCACACTTTCAACGACATCTACCTACGGCCATCGACTTTCACGTCAACCGGCCTTTGTGCCTACTAGAGCCAGCAAACCAACGACCAACCGCATTAGCAGTTGGGTGCCGTCTCGAAACACTGTCTGAATCCTCTAGCTAGGAATCGGCACCTTCATTTCTCCTGCGAATCAACTATCCAAAGTTGATCGCGAACCCCTACTTCGACCTTCGGGCGCCACTCTCTACACTTTTTCCAGCAAGCTTGCTCTATTTCAATGTCCTCATAACGATACTTCTTTGTCTTTTCCGGACCACATCGTCCAACCTCATAACGACCAATCGACCAACAACAACAGACTCTCGCTTTCATATGTCCGTCTCCAGCAAAAAAATACCCTCAATGAGCCTCTGATAAGTCAACGAAAAGGAGTTAGAAATTCGTCTTGTTTCCTGTTAGATTTGTTCTTTCAACCCTGTACATTCTTGGTAACACCCAAACCCACCTCATTCTCGATCTACAACTACAACAACAATCGACACGAATCCATCGTCATTCACACCCATCCTTCTTGATCCAGCAACCCCTCGAACCCTCCTTCCTCTGCAACGACGAAATCTCGAAAAGCTTGCTTCAAGGCTGTAACATCACCCTCGCCGCTACATCGTTGTTCCTCAATTCGATACCCCTTGCTCCAAAGCCTCTTTTTCCAGTTTCGATATGGCATGCTTGAGAGACAACTTTCAGAATGGCGTGCTCCTCGGTGGTCGATATGAGACCATATCTCCCCTCAACCATGGTTCCTTTGGAATGGTCTTCATGGCCAGGGACACGAAGACCAGCGAGACTGTTGCCATCAAATGCTTGACTAAGAAGGAAGCCGCCGATGAGTATGGTTTCGACTTCGCCATTGACGAGAAATCCGAGGAGCTCGTCCTCCACAGCCGTCTTGGATCCCACCCCAACATCGTCAACCTCCTCGACACCTTTGAGACCGATGCTCACCTCTACTTGGTTCTGGAGTTCTGCCCTCAAGGTGACTTGTACGAAGCTATTCGCAAGGGCCACGGCCCTCTCGAGACGGAGCATGTCCGACAGTTCATGCTGCAGCTCGTCGATGCCGTCGACTACATTCACTCGAAGGGTATCTTCCACCGAGATATCAAGCCGGAGAACATCTTCCTCACCCAGTCTGGTGACATGAAGCTCGGCGACTTTGGCCTCGCTACGACTGAGAACTGGACCTTGGAGAACACTGTTGGCAGCGACCGTTACATGTCCCCCGAGCAATACGACTCTGCAGGTGCCGGCTACTCTCCTGCCCAAGCAGACATCTGGGCCATTGGCATCTGCC